GTTGGTACAAAAAAATTAGCCCTTTATATTTCAACACATTTTCAATTTTTTAGTTAAGAGTTTATAATTATTTTATTTATTCTGCAGCCTCGTCCTGGAGTATCTTATATATAATATCATGGTATATCATTAGTACGTGAGATGCATGATGTAATTGATGACTGCATTGCTACGTACATGAGAGTGTGAGTAACTTTTGACTGCAGTTTTGATGTTATGCAGTAATTTGATATTGAAATGTGACTTTTTTTTAATCATGCAGACATGATTTTCTTGCAAATAAAGGTTTTGAGAGGGCAATTGACCGAGCCGGCCTCGAGGATGTATTGCTAAATGGGTGGTTAGAAAATGAACATGTCGATGTTTTTGCTGACATATTGCGTGAAAGAATTGTCAAGTCACCTAAATTATACAGGCCATACATCTTTGTAACGTCGCAATATTGGATAATTGCAATATTTAAATTTATTCATATATATTTTCATTGTAAACACAATTTAATTTATCATCTTATGCAAATGCATAAGAAATTAGATACCGTAATTTTCGTGAAATAAATCACAAACGAAAGTATAAAGCAAGCTCAAGTTATATTATTTTATATAATCCATAACGACCATTGAACTTTGTTGGTGGAAGAGGTAAAATTGAGAAAATGAAAATAGTATGACTCTCTGTCCAACAGTGTGTATAAGAATGTTGCCCGTCAAGTTGTAAATATATCACACAAATGTCACACAACAATAATATTCAATATCACAGAACTAACACTCTTCCTCTAATATATCATCCTGAGTAACAACATATCATGCATCTCTTATTGTCTCTCGGGCTCCAAGCCCTTCTGTATGTTTCATATGTACATGTAAATTCTCATTAATCTTGCTCTTCCTTTTCCCATCTCTGTACTTACTCTTTCAGCATGTTGCTTTCTCTTTATCAGCTTTTGTTTTTTCTAATATCTTAATAATAGTTGTTAGGGTATATAATGACTCTTCAACATTAGCCATTTGTTTATTCTTGATATAGATTCCTGTAAACTTAAACTTATTTGTTCCTGAACTTTCAACAGCTCAATTATTCCTTCAAGATCATTTATTTCTCTTCCATATGTTGCTTTTGGGGTTACATTGCTTGAAACAATTAGACCAACATATGCGATTTGGGTGATGGCGGTCCGACCGGAGTTTCACAACGAGCAGTAGGAGAAAGAGTCATAGCAGGGCTCGGTAGTCCATGGCCAGAGTTAGACAACAGGTAGAGCTCATCTTCCTTCAAGTCGATGGTGTCATGAACCTACGTTGAAAGTCACAATGCTTTACCTAAATTTAGTAAAGCAACATAGAAACATAACTTACCCTAAAAAAAATCTTATAACAAATAAATTTACTTAACTGTACATACTTGAACGCCCTAAATGCTTCATGAATCTGTGATGCTATCGACCCATGAATTATTGTCCACTTCAACATGCGTGTTCTAACTTCAAGTGCAACATGAGTAAAAAATATTGTGTGCTCGAAAACCAAAGCTGCGGATAACACATCAAAAACCTATTTGTCAGAAATAAAAAAAAATAAAACAATAAATTTAAAGGAAAAGTTTTAAATGTGAACAATATGAATTTACAGATAAAAGAAATATAAATCCGATTATATAATCAAGTGGCTGATTCTACCTTATTTTGATTGCAATAAAGTTCATTTGATCAATCATATAATTATAGATAGCAACAGACCGGTTAAATGAAGAGGATTGTACGTTCTCCCCAAATGCATAAAGCCCTAAGAGCACATTGAAATTGCTTGAGGAAAAGAATAAATTTGATAGTAAAAATTTAAGAAATAATTTCTTAAAGGTTGTGGAAGACTCTCCTGAAAACTTAGTCACATCTTTCTTTGTTGCTCTAGCATCTACACTAGATGAGGGAGTTTTCCTCTAACTAATTGATTCTCCTCTGTTGGGCATGCCTAACAATAGCTCAACATGGTCAGCGTGGAGTTTTACTATCTTCCCACCCATCATAAAGCTCTCTTGTCATTATTCCAAAATCACATGATATGTAGAGTCAACACATTATCTTGGGGATAGGGAGACATGTCAAAAAACTGACTAACATTTATTTCTCTTAAAAAAAATTATTGTTTCCTCAGGTACAATGTATCTAACAATATCGAGTGCACTCCTCACTACGGAAGGACAACATCTACAATTTAACGTTCTTGCGTTCATATACCTACAAAAGAAAACATAAGGAAATATTATTTTATAGATAACAATCTCCATCCATAATTTTAAAAATGACTCAAATGTTATTATTAAAAGTTTTTGTCATGTTACATATGTGTTATTGTAGTGTTAAATATGTGTTATTGAAGTGTTACATATGTGTTATATGAATGCACTAGTTCAGCTTTTGTTGTGTTACAGATGAGTTATTATGTGTTACTGTTGTGTTACGGTGGTGTTATCATTGTATAATTGTAGTGTTATATTGTGTTACTGTTAATTTATAATGGTGTTACTATTCTGTTATAATTGTTTATTGTTGTGGTATTCTTGTGTTACTGTTGTATTAATGTTGTGTTATCGTGTGTTATGAATGTGTTATCATTGTGTTATGATTGTGTTATGCTTGCGTTACACCTGTTATGCTTGCGTTATACCAGTAACACAACTATAACATAACAATAACACACTAAAACACACTATAACAGATATATAACACAACTATAACACAATTCTAATAACATAACACAACAATAATACAAAATAACACATCTATAACACCATTATATCAACACAACACAACAATAACACAGAGCAACACATTTATAACACACAATAACACATCTTTAACACACAATAACACAATTATAACACACAATAACATATTATAACACATCTATAACGCATCTCTAAAAATCATAACATAATAATAACACCTTTATAACACACAATATCACACAATAATACAACTACAACACCACTATAATACTACAATAACACAACTAAAACTTCAACTTTTATTTTAAAATAAACAATATAGTTTTAGGAGACCGCTAGGTTCTTCTTCGGCTCTCTTGCGACATTCCACTTTGTGTGCTACAATGAGAAAGAAAATAAATCACTAGTTGTTGCAATGAAATGACTAAGAAACGACATGACTAAGCACTAATATTTGGAATGAGTATTGCATAACCTACCTTCTGTTTCCAAGAGTCGAAACTGAATGGAGTACCACCATCAACCGTCCGAATGGAAAACCACTGTAGCCAAAGACAAACAGCCGTCCGAAGTGCCGAAAAAAGTCGGAAAAGCCAAAGAATCAAGAGGCCCGAAGCTAAAGGAGGAAGAAGCCAAATGCCGAAGGAGGAAGAAGCCCAATGCGAACCGACGAAAGGCTCCAAAAACGCCGAATCTAGCTTTTTGTCTTTTTTTAGATTTAATTTGGGCCGAGTTCACGATAAACACACATATTAAATTTCCAGCGTTAGATTCGGGTCGGGTCAAACTTCTTTTTTAATTTTTACGCGTTAGATTCGGGTCGGGTCAAGCTTCTTTTTTAATTTTTATATGCTGTGAGATCCATATTCACTTGTACTCCACTCATTGGACTCAAACAAGTCACACTTCGGAGTCATGAGACAATAAAACTTAAAATAAAAAATATTAAAAATCTGTTTCCGGGAATCTATATATCTTATTTAATTACTGTAACAAAATTCAGCAGCAACAGAACTGGGTGCACCATGGCTTCCTCTGCGAGCTTCGCCAGGTTTATTCATCGCTCATCTTCTTCCCCTAGCCTTAATTTCACTCATCTTCTTCGTCCTCTTCCTCATAATCTCGCCCTCTTACTATTCTTCTTTCCCGCCATTGCATCGTCATTCTTATTCCGGTGCTGTAGGGCTTCGGGAGAGGCATCGAATCAAATTAGCCTAAAATCCGTGAGGGAAACCCTCATCCGCCAGGAGGATTCCATCATTTTCAGCCTCATCGAGAGAGCTCGGCACCCGTACAACGCGCCAGCCTACGACAAGTCGTATTTGAAATCTTCTGGAAATTCGCTCGCTGAGATATTTGTAAAAGAGGCGGAGCATCTTCATGCCAAGGTGGATTTAATTCCTTCCATACGGATTCTCGTATTTGCACCTGCTATTTGATCCTGATTTCGAGAATTAGTTCGAGTAAAGCGGTTTTTTACATTGGCGGAATCCAGGCTTCTATTTTGAGTGTTATTTGGACTTTTATGCCTGTCAGCTATCTTTGAATATCAGATCATGCACTATCATATCTTTCTGTTGAGTTTCTTTCACCGTTGAGTAAATTCGTAATAATTAATGCTCTATTTGTAGATGTTCTGCGGCTCAATCAAGAACCATATCGAGTTTTAGCTTTAGCGTAGAATCTATTTCTTTGCCAGTATAACCAGCACAATCAACAGGGAACCATTTTAAATGCTATTGGATTGCCAAGTTACTTTTATTTCTTATCATGATTTAACTTCATCACTATCAGTTTAATATGCCCTTGTAGTGAATATGCAACTATCAATGACACTGCTGTTTTCCATCTGTTTGTCAGCTTTAGAAATCTCTGTTTATAGTTCATTGTAGAGGGCTTTGGAGTTGATCTTCGTTGAAGTTTATATGAACTTCTTAAAAAGTTAACTGTTGGATTTGAGGGGCACTTCTTCTTCTTTTTTTAACAGTTTTCCATCAATTCTAGCCTCTTTTTTGCTATTGCTGTTCATTGTATAAATATCCATGCCATCAACATTTATTTCCCATCCCTTCGTATAAACAGATGTTCTTCCTCACACTGTCCTATTAGATGCAAATGTAGTCACTTTTCTTGCTTTGATCATAAACCTAAAAAGTTTTAATAAGAAAATAACACCATTTTTTTTAATCCAAAGCGAACTATATCAGCGAGCTAATTGAGTATTGTTTGAAAGTTCTTGTCAATTTCATTGAGATGCTGAATTGAACCTCAAACAAAGTGAGATATTTTTAGTCTAGAGGTTGTGAAATGGTTTTTGAGTGTGTTGAACTAAATGATTGTGATGTGGTAGCCAATTAACTTGCCCCATTTGTTCCTAAAGGACGTATTTGAACATGGAAACAACATCTACACCATGTGGAAGTTATGGGCAAAAAGCCTACATATGTTCCGTGATCGACCAGACTATCATGCACTAGTTGTGCCCTTTTGAATGTTTAACTAGTTAATATTGTTATACATGCTTACAGATGATCGCCTTTTGTTATTTAGCATAATTTTTTGTTGTTGCATGCTTACATAATATAATCGCCTTTTGTTATTTAGCATAATTTTTTGTTGTTTTCTATGCTTGTATTTTTCCCCTTTGAGATTTTCCTTATTTATAGTAAAGGATAAGGGGCCGTATGCTATTATTCGTGTTAATTTTGTGTTTTTTATTCTATAATTTATTAAATATCAAATATTTATTGTTGATAAGTTTAAATGCATTCTATATAGTATCATTATGCATGGAATAAAGGGTTAAGTTTTAAGAAATCATCTTTTCTTAGGCTGGAAGATACCAAAACCCTGAGGAGGTTCCCTTTTTTACTGATGATTTGCCTTCACCTTTGATTCCTTCATATGATTACCCTCAGGCAAGTCTTCTCTGACTTTCTTTACCCTTCATAACAACTGGAAATCCAATCATAGCCCAAGTCTTAAAAATAGGTGCTCCATCCAACTGCTGCATCTGTGAATATAAACAAGACTATATGGGACATGTATTTCAATGAATTGCTTCCACTATTTACTGTTGAGGGTGATGACGGTAATTACGCATCAACGTTGGCATCGGACCTTGTATGCTTGCAGGTGATAAAACTGTCTTGTGATAGCCAATATTATTGTATATTGATGCATATTTTTGAGCGTAGGCCATATCAAGAAGGATCCATTACGGCAAATTTGTGGCAGAGGTTAAGTTTAGGGATGCACCGGTTGATTATAGCTCTGCAATTCATGATAAGGTACCTTCCTTTTTCTATTTACTTTTCACGCCAATTCATGTCTGCGAACGTGCATATGCATGTCAAAACCAACTGATCCTTTTTATTTTTGATGAATGTGATAGGCATGATTTTGTAGTAGCTAGAATTTGATGTTCTTTTATTTTAAGGTCAATGAATCCTGGGTAGTTAAAAAGTCATTGATAGCCAAATTAAGCATGATAGAAAGAAACGTGTTATGTTGAAGGTGCAGTTATTTATTGGATGCAGTGAATTGAAAGGATCATATTCTATGGTTTTCAACTTGTGACCTTTATTTTATGCCTCTCGTCACCCAGAGTAATCAAACATGGCCATCAACTTTTAATTTGAGAGAAGATCAATGATTATCATCATGGGCTTTATGCGTATTTTGTGACTTTTGTGAGTATTTTTCAATCTCCTTGTGTACCTTGCATGTATGATTTAAAATGATCAAAACAAGCGGGAATTGATGCCTTAGGCCATTATATAAGACCAATTTGTCCCTTGGAGATTCAGATTATATGAGCTGGATTTTATTTTCAAACCATTGTATTTATCATTTCTTATCTCATAAGGAAAATTTTATTTAGTTTCATTTATTCTAAAAATTAACTTTTTTATTAGAAAAATTGGGTATCTATTATTTTGGAATTAATTTTACATTATAGATTTTTTATTCTACATGCATTCATTTGTAAGGCAAGAAAATGTAGATTTTCCCATATATAATTTTTCTCTTGTTTCTGGACATTTACAGGAGGTGTACCTTGGTATATGCTTTTTGCTGATGATATCATTCTCGTAGATAAGACGAGAGAAGAAGCCTAGAAAAACTTGATTTACGGAGGTCTACATTGGGGGAAATATTTGCGTACGTAACACGCACGCAAAGCTGCGTGCGTAATAACCTAGCAATAACCTCCGCTTCGCGGTTATTAAATGATTATTGAAAGGTTATTGAAGTATTAATTCCAATAACTTATAACCCCGATACCCTAATAACCTTACAATAATCTTCTCGGGTTCTATTTAGATGTTATTCATAGGTTATTATGAGGGTATTGCAGGGTTAATAGAGTAAACACGCATAGTTGCGTGCGTATTACGTACGCAAATATTTCTCCTACATTGGAGTCTAAAAGCCTTCATTTGAGTAGAACTAAAATTGAGTACATGGACATAGTAGCTCTGGTGACAGAAGTGCAACTTTGGGTGATCAAATTATTAAAATGTGTGAACGATTTAGATATCTCCCATATGTTGTTCAAAGTGATGGTGATCTAGATGGGAATATTAATAGTACAATCAAGTTGGTTGGTTGAAGTGGAAGAATGCTTCGAGCCTCTTGTGTGATCAAAAATTAACGCTTAGACTGAAAGGAAAATTTTATAAGATGGTGGTGAGACCTGCAATGCTCTATGGTGTTGAATGTTGGACTTTAAAAGTGAAACATAATACTAAGTTAAGTGTTGCCGAGATGAGAATGATTAGGTGGATAAGTGGTTTTACACTTAGAGACAAAATGCGAAATGAATATATCCGTGATAGGGTTGGTGTAGCTCCAGTGACGGCCAAAATTAGAGAGAGTCGTCTTAGATGGTTGGTCACGTTTAACGTTAGCCATATGATGATCCAATTAGAAGAGTAGATGTTTTATATTCGACTTATGTTAAAAAAGGCAGAAGTAGACCTAAGAAGACTTGGGCTTATTGTATAAAAAATGATCTTAATTTATTAGAACTAAATGAAAATATGACACTAAATAGGACACAATGGAGAAAAAGGATTCATGTAGCCGACCCCAAGTCGTGGGATTAAGGCTTTGTTGTTGTTGTTGTATCTTTTTTTATCTTGTCCTTGTCATGATCATCATTCTCTTCCTCTGTTTCCTTGCTATGGAAACCATAAACATCAATTGTTCAACATTAAGAAGGATATAAGAACCTACCGTTCTACAAGATAACAAAGTGGAGAGCTAGGTAATAGTCAATAGACCATTTTAGTGCTTCAGATTATAGCGAGGAAAGCAATGTAAAAAATAAATTTTAGATTGAAAACTTGGAACATTTCAGGTTTGGATGGCAAAAGGAAAGTTTCTCTACTATCTTGAACTACGAGCTTTTTCTATAATCTTTATTTCTTTTGGAGAACTTCGAGTTTGGATCATTTTTTATCTGAGCCTAGGTTTTCTATTACGGGAAGGCCAATCCAATCAATGAAGAAGACAGGGTAGCAAATAGACGCACAATTGAAATCACATCCAATTGTCGAACATACTGTTATCCTCTTTGACCTCAATATTGTGATCTAAGAATCACCGTTGTCGCCAATTTTTATGTGAAAATTAAATTATTATAACTTCAACAAACATCATGTCTTTGGTCGTTTCAAAATTTGATGATCAAATCATGATCATAGATGATCGCATCGATCACATCCTGGATTTGATCCATTGATTTTAGTATGTAAACCATGGTGGTGTTTACTCTCTCCTTTTCTGTTTCTTTCTCTTGAACTTGATTTTTATCATACATCATAAACTGGCTCCAAAAGTGCCCCAAAGGTGTGCAATTTGATCTAAAAAAGAAAGTTGTAAATTGAAGTTGTTCCAGATGCGGTTGATGAATAGATGGGTAGCCTCCTTTTCAGTTAATCTTCTTGGATATGCCTTCTTACTAAACATTTCTAACATAACAAAAATGTAGTCATAACCTTTATCAGTCTATGTGACACTGAACAATCACAAGTAAGATGTTTTAAACATTAACTATCCATGAAAGCAAAAAAAAAAAAAAAAAAAACATGTACATATTTTTCTTTCTCGAAATGTTGACTTGGTTGTGTAGAAGCCTGGAAAGCTAACCGACTGCAGGAAACGGATGTGGAAGGGTAGAATTCCTGCATAGGAAAGCCCTACCAGAAGCCTAGTTGATCTTTCCTACTACCATCTTTCGTGCACATATTAGAAGTGTAGGCTATGCGTTAGCCCTTTCTTGCCCCAATAAATGCATGTGTAAATCCTTGGACTTCTCTTGGTCAATGTGTGAACAAATTTTTGCATCATGAATCAAGGTTTCTTGGACGGGCTCGACAGCAAACCTGCAGCAACAAACTTCTAATTTCTGGAACTGAGAGGTGGCTGAAACACGGAAAGCCACAAAAGGAAGCCTGAAAGGTCTCTGGTAAACTAATCTTGGCGAGGAAGATAACCCCATTATGGTTGCTAATTATGCATTAATGTGTTCTGCTACTGTTTTGAACTTCTTGCTGCTGGAATTTGGGTAGACAGCCATATGAAATGCAGAAAAGGGGTTCAAGAATGCTATGGAGGAGAAATAGAAGCTTGGTAGAATGACTTTGGCGAAATCCCAGACTTCACTACGATCCCCTCCCCTTCTCACCTCTCCCAACTCGGGGAATCCACCCCAAAACAGGCAAATATTTTACATACGGAGTCCGGACGTAGTAGAGCTAAGTCCGGACTCCAATCCCACGAAACCAAGTGTATTGGAGTAGGTCCTTTTTTTAAAAAATAAAAATTTATGAGTCAAAATAAAAATATTTTTTTAAAATTTTGTATACCTGTAATAACCTTATTGGAGTTCGGACGTAAAACTACGTCCGGACTCTGTATGTAAAATTTGCTGCCAAAACAGAGAATCCTCCCTTCAACTCAGAAAACTAGAAATAAACCTCTCCAAAAGAATCCCCATTCCCTCCAAATAAAGGCCAATTTATAAGCAAGCTATCCCAAATAACTCTTAGCCCTTTAATTACAAAGATACCCTTGAGAAGGAATAAAAGAAAAGATGTTCTCTAATTAATTATGAAAAGACCCCTCCCAACATTATGTTATATTTTCAAAAAGATTGAGTTTATTTCATGTCCAATAGTTGTTTTTTTGAATGTAAAAGTAGAGAGACAATCTTACCGTTGCATTTTAGTGATTTACTAAACTCTAGGGGACCGTTTAGGATCATTTTTATTTTTTATTTTTTGTTTTGTTCATATTTTAATTTGAAATAAAATATGTTTGGTTTCAATAGTTGTTTTTAAAACGCTTAAAACAAACACAAGTTGTTTTGAGTGGTTACAATAGAAAATAAAAGCATGTAAAAATACTAAACAAACACTTTTTTTAAAACAAAAGAAAAAAAAAGAATGATGTCAAACGGGTCCTAAATTTTATAGCAACTCAAATAGAACAAATAATTCCACTGCATTTAATTTACAAGCTACCAAATAATTCAAAATACCCACAACCAAATAGCTCTTATATTTACTCCAACAATTTATTGTTCCATTTAAATGCAGGACAAGGATACATTGATGAGAATGCTTACATTTGAAAGGGTGGAAGAGATGGTTAAGCGCAGGGTTGAACAGAAAGCCATGGTTTTTGGGCAGGAGGTGACAATGGAGGATGAGAAGGACGGCATTGTGGATTACAAGGTAAACCCTTCTGTAGTCTCTCGCCTCTACGGAGATTGGATCATTCCTCTAACCAAGCTCGTCGAAGTTGATTATCTCCTTCGTCGACTCGAATAATTGCGTTGCATTATGCACTGCTTCATCTATTTATCTATGCTTTTGTGATTGAAAAATATTTTGCTGGTGAAATAATGTTGTGTAAAACATAATTATTATTTGTTGATTGACTTCTTTGTACCTTGTTAATATCATCGTGTTATATTATAGGAGAAAAGTTTGGTCATTGTATCATTGTATGTTTATTTAGATTTTAGGGGCATTTTCACACATACCAATCAATTCCTATGCATTTACATTTCTGACATGTAAACTTTACTTTTTTTTTAGTATCATATCAAAAATACCACTACTTCAACTTTTAAAAGGTGGAATATAGCTTTTCATGCACATAGATAAGATGACATATATGTAAAAAATGAAAGTTTAGGTGTTAGATATGTAAATGCATAGGAATTAATTAGGTGGTATGCATGCAAATATTTTTAGATCTTATAGGGATTGGATTTACTTTCAGATAAGTGCAATATACATGTGATCAATTAAACTTCATATCACTGTCGTCTTAAAGCAATTACATTTCTTTTATCCATTCTTTTTTCACTTGGTCTGTTTGGGGCAGCTGTAGCTTATTTAATAATCTACTGATAAGTTGATTAAATATAATCTGCTGATAAGTTAGGTGCGATATTATTACAAATTTTTATTTTTTTAGAAAAGTCAGACCATTGCCAATAACCTCCCACCACACCTAGATAGTTGCAGTGTGAAATCGCAGTTTTCTGCGTTTTGAAAACGCATAAGCTGCCAAAACACAGTTTACCCAAACAGGTTAGATGCGTTTCAAAATGCCACTGCACCAAATAAACTGCCCCAAACGGGCTCTTAGTCCAATTCAATCATCCATTCCTGTTTCTATCCTTTTTGCAAATATTTTGATCCATAGTTAAAAACACACTGATGGTATAATTGTAATTATTTGTCACGATCAAGGCAAGAACCAGTTCATTTTTATTTTAGGGAAATTTACATACATACCACACAATTCCTATGTATTTACATATCTAACAACAATAGTTTGTTATTTACATTTATAACACTTCATTGTCATATATGAAAATGTTATTCTATTTTAGAAAGGTTAATAATAATAATATTTTTAATTTGATATCAAATATCTGAGTGTTGTGTATGTAAATATGAAAGTTTCGGTGCTAGAGTTGTAAATACGTAAGATTCGTGTGGTATACATGTAAATGCCTCCTTTTTAAATGAGAGAAACATGAATTTGATGGAGGAGATATTTGATATTTTTATTAATTGAGCCCGTGCAATCCCACGTTTCAGACAATTTTATCGATGTTAAGTTCATTTTTAATAGAGAAAATAATACTTTGCGGGAGCAGAACCAGTTTATGTCCAACTTCTCCCTTGATATATATATATTTTTTTATATAGGTAGTAAATTTTATTTTTTTTTTTTAGTTCAGATAATTTTTTAAATAATTTATTTAGGGCCCGTTTGGGGGCGGAGGTGCGTTATTTTGTTTTGTTTGATTAAATTGCATTTTGAAAAGCTGATGTTGAAATCTGTGTTTTTTCACTGATCCTGGCTAGGTGCGATGGTAGCTTTCTAGTTGGGATCCGACGTTTTCAAGAATAAAAAAATTTATAATTGCCAACATGATTTTTTGATCATTATATTATTTTTCAGCAGCTTCAAAATTGATTTTTAATAAGTTTCAGTTGTCTCAAACAAATAATTAGTAATTTTTTTAAATATATTTTTTCAATCATAATTTTCATTTTTCTTTCTCAAAAGTAAAATTTAATTTAATTTAAGAAAAATAAAGATAATTTGTACAAAATTTTCTTTTTAAATAGAATTTTTTTCTTAAATTTTTCCCACCATAAAAAAGCATTAGAAGTTTTATCTCGAACATATGAAGAGTTTGTTTAATGGCTTTATAGGCCTAAATTAATAAGTAAATGTATGATTATATTTTGTTTATGATTATTCATTCCATTTAGGTATAATCTAAAGTTCATTTTAACTTTTAGGATAAATGATTGTTTATTACACCGTTCTAATTATATTAAAGTTTTTATTATGTCTATAACATCTAAATTTTGCTTTATACATTTAACCAACAAAAATTTTCATATCACATGAAAAGCATCACTATTTTAATTTTTAAAAAGTGAAATGACTCTATTTCATGCATAAGTAAGGTGACATATGTAAAAGTTAAAGTTTAGGTGTTAGATATGTAAATTCATAAGAATTGAATGGTATGTGTGCAAATCTTCCATCTATTACCTATGAGCTATTTGCAACTTTGATTTGGAGAATAATGAGCCTAAATAAAAATATATAGTTTTTTAGATATTATATTTAAATTATATATATATATATATATATATGGACTATT